AAGCCGGTATACGAGGGGAAAAAACAAACCTATTACCTAATCAAAGCTCGATTCGAAAATGTCTCATTTTGATAAATGCACAGCTTTTATCAGACCGTGGAAATCGATATGGACAATCGATGAGGGGGACTTCCTGTTTTCTTCAAACTCTTTAACCCACGAGCGCAACAAGTTAAGTAAGTATTGACAGGTGGTTCTTTTCTGGCAAAATAAGGTTTTATCTCTGGATATGGATTCTAAGAAACTAAACAAAATGAGAGCATGAACAATGTGAAAAATCACCTCGGAAAAAAAAAAAAAAAAAAAAAAAAAANAAAAAAAAAAAAAAAAAAAAAAAAAACCCTCTCGTTTATGTATGCCACAAAACAGAACAAAACTGAGAGCATACAGGGTGTACCAAAAGTCCGTCCCACCCCTGCTAACTTTTGAACGAATTGAGCTAGGGTAATGAAACTTTGGGAATGTTCCTATCTCAAAGGGGACCATCTTTTGGGGGGGTCAAAATTTTGGTCCCCCCTCAGGGGGGGCGCGGGGGGCCCCCAACTTTTTTTTTTCAAATGGCAACCCCTATCTTGTGATACATCATTCGAAAGAGCATAAAAAACTAAGAATTTTGGCGCAAACCGCAGATCAATATCTTAATTTTTGACCGAGTTATGATAGGTCAAAGGTCAAATTTGACCTATTTTCAAAAAATCATAACTCCGGTTCAAATTATCGTAAAGAAAAAAATAAAACGGGAAAATTTACCAAATTGTGTCCGCTTTTAAGTAAAAATTGCAGAAATCACTTCGCTGTAATTTTAAGGGGGGGCTCGGACCCCCAAATACGTCAATTCAAAGGTCATTCAATTTTCCCGCGAAAAAAGGCAATTTCCCCTAGATTTGCCTCCACATTATCTCAGTAAGGTCAAAATTAGTTCAACATTACGTTGGCAAGTCCCCAAATTTCGGGAAAATTTTAAAAAAAACGAAATTTAAGGTGATTAAATTTGACCGTTTAAATTTCTTTTTTTTTTAACTTTTCCCGAAATTTGGGGACTTGCCAACGTAATGTTGAACTAATTTTGACCTTACTGAGATAATGTGGAGGCAAATCTAGGGGAAATTGCCTTTTTTCGCGGGAAAATTGAATGACCTTTGAATTGACGTATTTGGGGGTCCGAGCCCCCCCTTAAAATTACAGCGAAGTGATTTCTGCAATTTTTACTTAAAAGCGGACACAATTTGGTAAATTTTTCCGTTTTATTTTTTTCTTTACGATAATTTGAACCGGAGTTATGATTTTTTGAAAATAGGTCAAATTTGACCTTTGACCTATCATAACTCGGTTAAAAATTAAGATATTGATCTGCGGTTTGCGCCAAAATTCTTAGTTTTTTATGCTCTTTCGAATGATGTATCACAAGATAGGGGTTGCCATTTGAAAAAAAAAAGTTGGGGGCCCCCCGCGCCCCCCCCTGAGGGGGAACCAAAATTTTGACCCCCCCAAAAGATGGTCCCCTTTGAGATAGGAACATTCCCAAAGTTTCATTACCCTAGCTCAATTCGTTCAAAAGTTAGCAGGGGTGGGACGGACTTTTGGTACACCCTGTATATACCTTGCACATATGTCATCTTTAATTGTTAGTTAAATATCCTCGAAATTTATTACGTCGTTCGGGAGCTTGATTTTTAGAGCCGAGAGGAGGAAATATGGATGCTACTACGTGAAATATAGGTCTTCCGTATCAATGTATCAATATGCATGTTTAAGAAATAAGAGAAACGTATTATATTAAATCATAAAAAAAAATGACTTGATAGTGATTTTAAATCGGAGAAGCTTGGCACCGCACGCGTGCCTTGAGCCACTCATTCCAAAAAAAGAGATAAGGGTCATTACAGTCATAACCGTCGTGACCGAACTGGAAGAAAACGAGTTAATTTATTGTTCGACTGATAATTAATTACCGTGCCTGTAACACGGGGGAAGAGGACCGTACAAAGTATTTACCTCATCTTGGAGTTTATCAGTAGTGCGTGAGGAAATTCCTAATATGCAGTTTTCTTTAGAACGACCCAGGGATATGAGTATCTTGTTTACAAGATTTCTTTCGAGTCACAGCTAATTTTCATTTGCAATTGGCTATGCGCAGATTCCCACACTTTTTAATTTCCAAGACGAAAGACATAATTGCATTTCAACGTTGTAAAATCTCAACTCGCAAATTGATTTTTTACGAAAAAGCTGCCAGGCGTTTTAACATAGATTTTCAATGATATTTCTTTGATTAAACGCAAAATTCAGCAACATTCCACCCAGAAATTGCGCATCTGTAGGAGACATTAGTTGCTTGAGTCAATTTTGCAACCTCGGATAACTGTTGTGTCTCATAAAAGAAACTATAGGATTCCCTGCTCTAAGGGAATAGGAGTCTTTCTACTAAAATGGAGAGTTGATGATAAGAAAGGGTGGAGGGGCTCTGAGGAATTAGATGGGGAAAACTATCATCCATTTATTAGCATATGAGAGGATTGGAGGAAAAGACACGTAAGTGTGGATTTTGAAAAAATTTATATTTTAACGATTTCAAGTAAAACTAATCCTGATGCATATTTTGTGAAAAATTAGCTCCCGAATTCCGATTTTTTTGCATCCAAAAGTCAGTTTGAACTTTTTTCTGCCACGAGGATCCATATTATTTCGAAACTTCGAACACACATTTCTCGAAATAGCAAAAACTGCACTAACGCGCCTTGTCCTCCAAGCCCCTCAAATGTACATGATTATATCCTGCGCGAGTTCCTATTATATATTGGATGAATTGAATGAAGCAAGCGCGCATTTTTTTTTTTTATTTTTTTATTTGTTTTTAGGTGTAACGGTTTTTTTCACAAGAGCCGCTTACTCCGAGGGCTCCAACCCTTAAATTTTTAAAAATTGAGTCACGGTTTTTGTCCCATTTTAGCAACATTTGTATGGGCATGGTAAAAAAGGATATTTTTAAGTGTGCCACTCTTTTTTAAGAAGAAATGAGAGGAATCATCTCACGGAGAGGGGGGGGGGTCGTTTTTAGAGATTTCGCACACACTATTCATATGTATGCCCCATGAATGTTGACAAAACGTTAAATGAAGCACCGCTCTTTCAAGTCGTGAAAGGGCTTTCTCTAGCCTCGAGAGTTAACAGTTTTCAAAAACATGTTATTGCACAAAAAAGTCATAATTCGATTAAATCAATTGACTTCTGCAATCAGCACTCTCCATATTGAACACTTTTGTATACCGACACATATTTAAACTCGGAAAACACGTATCTCTGTTTGCGATGTTTCACAATTTCCATTCGTTACTTATGTTTCAAGAAGACACCTTCCTTTTTTTGAACTTTTCATAGAATATTCCTAAAAAAAAAGGAGAAAATCACGGAAAGGACTACGTGCAAAAGGGGCCATTTGGGGCTCGGGGCGGATACCTTTGAGACTTGCCCTACTCATTCACCTAACAATGCCCCATCTTTTCCCAAAGTTTCAAGCCCCCCAAAAATTTTGGGGAGACGCGGCGGGGGGTCAAAGTTAAAAACCGGCAAAATTTTCGCGAATTTATTACTCGAAAACCAAGAAGTTTTCGTAAACGCGGTTTAAACGAGCGTTTTCAGCGTGACGAGAGCTTTCAGAAAATGTATAACATCATAGGGTTTTGTCAACTTCAGCTCGAGTTATCACCTCCGAAGCGCCGGAACGCTCAAAAGAGACCCCTTATTTTTTCACGTTTGGGCCGATTTAAAAAAAAGCCATTTTTTTAATTTCATGAAAAACTGATATGTTGTTCCTGACTCTCTGTAGCCCCTCTAGCTCTTTACCGCATGCTGGGGAAATGTTTTGGTCGCGAGTTATAAGAGCGGAAAGGAGCGAAGGTCGGGAAAATCGGCTATTTTAAACTGCGCGCGGCGACGGATCAGGAGCCATGTGGCAACTATGCGAGGTCGGCAGAGGAGTGTGATTCACCGAAATGAGTGGGAGGGGACGTTTTCCCTCCGATCAACGCCGCGCGCGCAGTTTAAAATAGCCAATTTTCCCGACCTTCCCTCCTTTCTGCTCTTATAACTCGCGACCAAAACATTTCCCCAGCATGCGGCAAAGAGCTAGAGGGGCTACAGAGAGTCAGGAACAACATATCAGTTTTTCATGAAATTAAAAAAATGGCTTTTTTTTAAATCGGCCCAAACGTGAAAAAATAAGGGGTCTCTTTTGAGCGTTCCGGCGCTTCGGAGGTGATAACTCGAGCTGAAGTTGACAAAACCCTATGATGTTATACATTTTCTGAAAGCTCTCGTCACGCTGAAAACGCTCGTTTAAACCGCGTTTACGAAAACTTCTTGGTTTTCGAGTAATAAATTCGCGAAAATTTTGCCGGTTTTTAACTTTGACCCCCCGCCGCGTCTCCCCAAAATTTTTGGGGGGCTTGAAACTTTGGGAAAAGATGGGGCATTGTTAGGTGAATGAGTAGGGCAAGTCTCAAAGGTATCCGCCCCGAGCCCCAAATGACCCGTTTTGCACGTAGTCCTTTTAATGAAATTAAGTCGATTCTTTGTCCGACCAAGAACTAAAGTAGGACAGCAAGTCTGCATCCTCGCAAAGCGAGATAGGTGGTTTTCGAGCTCAAACATTGATGGCTAAAGGCGAAAGATGCGCATATACCTCCGATAGCAACGTTGCAAATCGCCGTTCATGTTTCATTTTATTTTTAAGAAAACTGACCGACATTTATAATTCTTGACACTTTGCGTGAATTTCCATCACATTTCAAGAATATTCGCAGGAAATATTAGAAATAAACTTTAGTCAGTTTTCCTTTCGAAATAAAGTAGAATTTAAGTAAAAATAAAACATAATCGTAGATTTGATAACGCTGCACCGAAGGAACGCATTTTCCGACCTTACCCAATGATATTCGACAAGGTTCAGCGTCAGCGATGACGATGGGAACTCTGAACGGAACCGAAAAGGCAGTCCTTACTTTTCTTTGAGCTTCGGCGGCGAATCCAGACTTGGTTGCCCGGTTGTTAGCCATTATGGGAGCCAGCTTTACTGATTTTAGGGAACTTCACAAACACAAAATAACCCACGGCACACGCGTAGTACATTCGCAGAGTAAGATGCACGACTAAACACTGTGGACTCGCTCGGCACGGGTACCCGTTTCAGCTGCCAGCGCGAGGAGACCCGATTCATTCCGGCCGCGGTCACGTGACCCAGGAGCTGGATCGTTACTGGTCCCCGATGATGTCAGCGTACCCGTCGCGCCCTGCCCCACCCGCCTTACTCACGGCTCGTCGCTCAGTGGTCCCCGTGTCAGCTCCACCAAGAGATTTCAGTGTTTACAAATGGTGACTCATGAGCACTTGAACCCATTAAGCGTTGCCGAAGCGCTCAATAATTCAGTTTCCTCAGCGCATGGAACGGGCATGGTTTAAAAGAAATTACGCAACGCGGCATAAACCTGTTGATCATGAGACAGGACACGAATTTCAAACACCACAATATACGATTCGTGGTCGAAATTTTTACATGGTATACGATGGACGCATACAAATTTTACGAGTTGAACTCACAGGCCGAAAAATAGTGGGTTTTGTCGCGTCAATTCAAACTTCCCGCGCAGAGGTATCAGTGCTATCTCGGGGCCTTAAAAGTGGCGGAAGGGCCCCAAAGAATCAAAACTGCAACATTTAGATTTTTACAAGCCATTAAGCGTCGCCGGCAAATTTAGGGGGCGGCAAATGTTGCAATTTTTTTTTTAAATGTAGCTATAAAGAAAAATCGGATTCAGAAAAAACAATTACAAAGGAGAATAGGTGACAAAATCTTTAAGAGAGAAACCAAACACGCAATTTGGCCTGGAGCGGCGCGGTGCAGAGAGCAATGATAACAAGGACTTGATGTGAAAAAGAGAAGCCCTCGGCGCGGCGGTCGATATGTAACACACATTAGCGCCTACAAGACTGCATGTATACTACACGCATTGCGTCAAACACAATGCGCTCAGCTCAGCGATCGGCGTGAAAAGCTCAGTGCCTACAAGACTGGATGAATACTTCACGCATTGCGTAAAATGCAATGCGCTCAGCTCGGCGATCGGCGTGAAACGCATAGCGCCTACAAGACTGTAGGAATACTTCACTCATTGCGCCAACACGGTGCGCTCAGCGCGGCGTGGCGGCGGAAGTTTTAATTATTATTCCACATTTATTTCTTTTCTTTCATAATTTTTTCATTCATTTCTCATAAATGGAAGGCCTTGTCTACACAGAGATTGGTTTACGGAACTTAACTTTCGCGCAAAGTTCCGTGATCTTTTGCCAGTAGTGTTGACAGTGTAATGTGTCCAACACGAGTAAACGCGTCTTATGCACCCCTACCCTGCCGCAAGTTTACCTACTTGATGGTTGTTATATATATGATGTTTTAAAACGAATGAGAAGGCGGCGGCAGAATACAAGCGGCCCCGGCGCGGCAAGTAGGTAAATCCGGTCCTGTATTCGTGAATATCATCGTGGCTTGCGAGATATTAAAAGAGACAAACAGGATTCCATGATTTTGAATATAATTGCAATTTACTGCGATCCATGCCGCTTGGATAGCACATAAAGTGAGAGAATGTTTATAGTGCAAGCAAACTATAGGTAATAACGGAAAGAAACATTATTCAACCGCTAAAGCTATGAATAAACCGAGAGAACGTGGCCAAGGCGGATCCAGCAATTTGGCAACACTGTCTTTTCTCCATTTAAACCTATGAAAATGTATCGATTCTTGGGGTACAGGTGCTCCAACAAGAATCGATTATTTAGCATAGGTTTAAATGGAGCAAATCTAGTTTTGCTAAATTGCTGGATCCGCCTCTGAACGTGGCCAATGTGCTGCAAGCAACTATTACTACTCCCAAGCCGCTCATATTGCCTATTGAGGTATTGAAGGCGAATTGATCGGAACGAGTGAGAAAATATGTGAGTAAGTAAAGTATTAAGCCGCAACTTAATTTTCGACAAATTTTAGGGAAACCCTCTCCCTTCCCAGGGAGAAATCACCTAGACCCCCCGCAAGAGAGGCCCCAAATCATGATCGCCATGATCCTAACTATTTCGACGCCAACGTGGTACCGTTTATTATCAACTTTATTTTTTTCTAATGTGATGAAGTTTTCATTTGAGTGGCACCTCTTTATAAACTTGCCAAAGTATCCGAGAAAAGACACTCATCTTCCGAGAAAGCGCCATTGATGGGCGAAAATTTGGTCCAAACGCAGTTTCCAATTTGATAAATACGCGACACTGTTAGCAAATGACAATAAGAACGGTGACAAATTACACGCGTCTTTTCATGCAGACGTGCAAAAAATTTAACAGTGGCGGCTCGGCTCGCCATATGCAGCATAAGTGAGGCGGTGTCTAACCTTGTCTTCCGATGAAAAAGTTCTATCAAAAAATGGCAGAGTTGCACATGCAATCATTCGAGTAGTACGCAACTCAAGACTAGTGCGCGAAAATGTGTCGGAAAATGACGAAGCTAAATAAATGGCTTACATATATCTAAATTTATTTCATACTTACTTTTGATGTAAAAAAATTATTCTCAATTAAAATAAAATTTTGTTGGTTAAATTTTTCTCTGTTAATAGAGAAAATTCTTTCACGTACCCCAAAAATATTGATGAATTACTAATTACAGTGGGTATAAGTCTCTACCTAACAATTATTAGATTTTATTTTATTTCTATATTGAAAATATAGTGTTTTTAGATGAAACTGAATAATTTTAAATTAGACCGTTTTAAAATTTTAAAATATCGTAAGAACTTCACTATTATGAATTTATGCAGTTAAATCCTTTAACTTTTAATCCTTTTAGCGCTGGCTTGACGTGGACACACTACGATAAATTAAAGAAGATTAAGATAATATTGACCAAATATTGCTCAAATTTGTTTGTCCATTCAGAAAAAATAAGGAACCAGACCAGAAAAGCAAAACTCTTGGCAACTTATATTTTGAGAAAAGAGAGTAATCCTCATCGAAAATCTAATTTCGATTTTTCGACCGAACAGGAAAGAAACTGCATCTTTGAAAAATGTTGTTTCCTGAAATCCTTCACCAACTTCACCTGAAGACGTTCCCAAACGCGTCAATTCATCACCCTTGAATTTAACTATAATTCGCGATAAGGAACAAATATTTCCGGTTCATTGATAAAATCATCAGTTTGCATACAGGAACTAATGGCACGCTATATTGTTTCTAAGATAAGTCATAAAATAGTAGTTTATTATTGCAAAATGTAGTTCAATCGTATTGCGTTTGACAGTAATCGGAGTCGCCCGTACTGGTATGAGAATAAAATGCAATTCAGTGGCAAGGCGCTTACAAATTCGATTGCGCTTAGAGGCTACGCCCCTCGAACGCCCTGCAGTCCGACCTCGAATGAAGAGGAACTTCACTCATACTCGGCGCTCAATGGCCCAGACGCCAGACGGAATGGCATGATTGATACCTATCAGACGCCTCGCCGCGTCTCATGCACTGTGAGTGAAGTCCACTTCAAGCGAATTTTTCATTCATGATCAGGGTAGGTTCCATGATCCGCGATCTAAAAACCCTGTTTTTATTGTTCGGAAAATTTACAAAATCAGTGCATGGACCAGTGTTCGAAACTTACAGGCGCCAACGCGCCAAATGCGCCTAAAAATCGGCCATAGTGCCTTAAAAATGAAGGCTCTGCGCCAACGTGACCCCTAAAAATTGCCCCCTAAAAATCTGGATTTTCACAGGAAGTCACATAAAGAAAGAAAAACAAATCTATTTGAATTGAAAAAACTCAAAATTTTCAGCACTACAAGTGAAAGCTTTTTCTATTCTTCACGATTTCATTCTTAGTGCTTTTGTCTTCCTCAAGTTACAGCTACTTACTGGTTCTGTTATACGAAAACATCTTGCGACTAGCTTTTCACTAAATGCGCCGTAATATATGAGCAAAAAGTCAATTTAGCCCCTAAAAAATCTTCAATGGCGCCTACAAATCGGGCTTGATGCGCCACATGGCTTCTAAAACTCAAAAGTGAGCTTCGAACACTGGCATGGACCCAGATCAGCCAAGCTCCAAAGGAAAATGTACAATATCTACGATGCAGCTCGGCATCTACCCTTCAGTGGGCTGATTGTTGACATTGATAGACAAAGCTGTAGACAAAGAAGACAAAAGGAATGCGTAGGATTCCTATTGGTGGAAGCGGGTGGCTGCAATAGACAAAGGAGGCTGGTAATAGACTAATTAACGGCAACCCGCGAGAGACCAAATAGATAGTATAGATGTAGTCTATCATTTCCCCCTTAATCAATAAGAATCACCCATTTGCCATTTCAACCAATAGGATCGCTCCATATACCCCCTATGTCTTCTTTGTCTATCGCCTTGTCTATCGATTTCAATAATCAGCCCGCAGAGTTCCTCTATACCTTGGTAAAGCCATATGTTTCCGCTTTTGGTTCCCGTATTTATGCATCATGGATGTCGCAAACGGGCCAGGGCCGGATATAGGGGGTGGCCACATGGGCCGCGGCCCTTGGTGGCAAATTGAATGGGCGGCAAATTTTGCAATATTCTTTAAATGTAGCTATAAAGAAAAATCGGATTTAGAAAAAAAAATTACAAACGAGAATAGGTGACAAAATCTTTCATTTCCTGAGTGTATATCCTTAATTTTGTCGTCCATCTGTGATACAATAGACAGCACCTTTAATTAGTCGAGTTAAGACTAAGGGAGAAACCGAACACGGAATTTGGCATGGAACGGCGCGGCGCTGAGAGCAATGATGATGAGAATTTGAGATGAAAAGGAGAAACCCTCAGCGCGGCGCGGCGCGGCGGTTGGCATGTAACACATATTAGCGCCTACAAGACTGCATGAATACTTCACGCATTGCATCAAAGACACTGCGGCGCTGCGGGCAGCAGCGGGCGGCGTGAAACGCTCAGCGCCTACAAGACTGCATGAATACTTCACGCATTACGTCAAACACAGTGCGTGTAGCAGCGGTCGACGCATAGCGCATACAAGATCGGAGGAATACTTCATGCGTTGCGCCAAACACAGTGCGGTCAGCGCAGAGCGGCGGCGGAAGTTAAAATTATTGTTTGCGGTGTTTC